GTAGCACGAATCAGTTTGTTGAACTGAGTCCTCTCTCGTGTTTCAAAAGTAGTTATATGAAAGTGATCTATCAGAAGTTCGAGGGCTTACCATATGGCAGAGAAATTGGTTTATCTGGAAATGACAGAGTTTTCCCTAGGCTACACGCATCTAACCCAATAGCAGTAATAAAATGGGCTGAAATTTTGTCATCGCGAACATTCGTCGACATGCACCATGCGTCGAAATATTCATGATAGCCGGCGATTTCCTGCAGTGAACCATTAATAGGAAACTTTCCGAGGTTAATTAATTCCATAGCAACGCCAAAATGTTGTGATTATTTGTAATAGGAGTATTAGTATTCCGCGATAACCGAATTACAAGAATTTGACCAAAACAAAGAGAGGGATGAATTAAGGAATGTGTATTTGGCGGAATTTTCAATCAATTCATATAAGAAATACATTAACAAGCAACAGTAAGTATTTAAACAATACAGAGATAGAAATTGTCAATCACCACATTTACACACATCTGAACAGCATTCGACAATTATTTACCGCATGTTCATGTACAGAGCATCTAACATCCTCCTCCAACTAGTAATGCAAAAACACACATTCCCTTGCAAAAACAAAATGTTTGTACGAAATATTGCGAAACTGTTATTAGTTATATTGTGAATGTCATCGAAACAGCCATGAACGTCTTACAAAAGAATGAATATCCACGGAATTTCATCAAAAGACATATACCCTCAAGCCAACCTATCAAACCATAAGCCCCCAAGGAAAGCACAAAGGAAATCGTCTTACGATATATAAAGGATATCTCAGAAATCACTGCAACACTCTTCAAACCTTTAGGAATTGACGTCATACCCAAACCAACAAAGTCACTTCACTCAATTCTATGTCAACGAAAAGACTCTACAGCAAAAGTAGACAAATCCAACATCATCTACAAAATAAACTGTAACAACTGTGAAAAACACTACATTGGCCAAACTGGACGCCTCCTTCGTCTTCATATCCACGAACATAAGCTAGCCGTCAAAAGACATGATATCCACTCCCTCATATCACTACATACAGACAACCACGGACATCAGTTAGACTGGGACAACGTTCAAATATTAGACAGAGGAAACAACAAGAATCCTAGAGAACTTTTAGAAGCTTGTCATTCCAGTGAATCATCAATCAATAGACGCATCGAGATAGACAAAATTTATCAACCGATAAGAAAGAAACTTCACACACAAAGGGTCAAAGTTCAGGTCAAAGAAACAACCAGTTCCAAAACAAGTATCCTAGAAGGTGTGAAAACACACAAAAACAACCAATCACGTCCAAGGTGACCAGGAGAGATGATTTCTAAACTCGTGGAGAAATCTGAAAGCTCACTTCAAATCGAAGTATGCGCTGAAGATGTCACCTAGTAGGGTGATGAAAGCTTCGCAAATTAACCATCCAGCTCAGAGAACACAACCACATCAAAATCATCCACCTGAGCCACAAATCTTCTCTATCATATCTAAATCTTACGAGCGGGACACTCTTCTCTCTGTTCGAAATTGGGAAGACTTCGCCAAAAGGCAAGGATCCACCAGAGAACAATTATTCTTTCTCCATGAGTGCCTTCATCATCAAATCCTACCGACCAGTGTGAAATACAAACCACCAGTCAACTGCCCATTGGGATGGAAATTGGCCGAACAATGTGGAAGACGATTGGTCAAATTAATGATTACAGACGCACATCATCGGATCAACAAATATCAACAAATAATAGATGTCCAAAAATAAAACTAGAGAAAACCCTCAACCAAGAACATCTGTCAACGCTGATCACCGTAATTACATTGTCAAGTAGAAAACACAGAGAATAAAGAAGAAGAGTCCTCCAAACCAAGCTAGCTAAGATTAGAAAACAACAACCAGACAATACACTAATAGACTGCGTAGTCAACCTATCAAAACAACTGCTATCAAAAATGGAACAACAACTACTATTCCAAAATGGATTAAACTACAACACCGGAGATGCTTCGGAAACTGATTTCTTTGCTGCCCTTGCTTGAATCATTACTCAAATCACCAAACTTGAACGAGGAAACACAAGAAGAGATACGCCGAACAATTGTACCAATGGTCAAACAGAAAAAACAACACACACAACTCAACGCTCAAGAAATAAAGGCCCTCAAAAAGCTGAAAAATAGGAAGGACATCGTCATTTTATCAGCCGACAAAGGAAGAACAACAGTGGTCATGGATAGAGAAGAATACACCAAGAAAGCTGAAGAACTATTCAAAGACGAGGATGTTTATCAACAACTGCCGACAAATCCCATACAAACATTGGACAACCGCATCCAAAGGACCGTAAACAAGCTCGCCAAAACTGGACAAATCACAAAACAAGACCAACGGCGAATGAAATCCAATGGACCAGTCCTACTCCGATTCTACGTCACACCCAAAATACACAAACCAAATATTCCGTTACGACCAATTGTATCACTCCCAGGAACTCAAACATATAATTTATCCGACGAATTATACAGAAAACTGAAACACCTAACGGAATCTGGCGATCACTACATCAACTCTGCTATCAAGTTCATAGAGGAAGGAATCCAAATAGATGAACAAGAAATAATGATATCCTTCAATGTCACAGCATTATATACCTCAATCTGACAAAAACTAGCAAAAGAAACCATGGAGCAATTACTTAGCATCAACGAACACCCTCAACAACAATCGAAAATGCAACACACAACCCGAATGGAATGCATAAACCTATGCCTAACAACATGCTTCCAATTCGACGACCAAATATATGAACAAATCAAAGGAACACACATGGGATCGCCAATATCAGGTTTGATTGCTGAAACAGTGAAGCAAAGGCTCGAAAACATAATTCTACCAAAGATCAAACCTAAGATTTGGATACGCTACGTCGACGACACATTTGTAATAATCAAAAGAAACGAGCTTGATAAAACTCACAACCTAATAAACAACGTCTTCAACGACATCAAATTCACAAGAGAGGAGGAATCCGAGAACCAAATCCCATTTTTCGACGTCTTAGTCAAGCAAAAACCACAGGGGAATTAGAAACTCACGTTTATAGAAAATCAACTCACACAGACCAAATCCTGAATTACAACAGCAACAATCCAATGACACACAAAACGAATTGCATACAAACATTATTCAAGAGGGTAAGGACACATTGCAGCACTCCCACCTTAAGAAAAATTGAAGAAAAATATCTCATGGACGTCTTCCAAAAGAATGGATATCCACGGAATTTCATCAGAAGATATATGCTACCAAGCCAACCTATCAAACCACAAGCCTACAGGGAAAGCACAAAGTAAATCGCGTTAACATTTGAAAAACGATATCTCAGAAGTCACTACAGAAGATATTTTGACTGGTGATGATTCTGACTATTAGCCGTTAGGATACAATACCGATACCCCCGAGTGAATAATGACTGTAACTTTTCGAAATGAGAACTCAAGCTCACAAACGAATCTCCACACCCATAATATCGATAAGGAAGAAGAAAGTTAGTGATGCCTGATAAAAGCGATCCAAATCCTCACACCATCCGAAAGTGTGGAGATGACATTTTCTCGAATTATCCTCCTTTGATGCAGACATTCAGTAGGGACTAATGGAAGTCTGTGTGTATGTGTGTGTATTGGTTAACTATCATGAGCATAGTCAGCACAATACACTTCCAAACAAAAATTTCATTCAACTCTGTAATGCCATTTCGTCTATTAGTATTTCCCATGATGAGTTCTCTCCCTATGTTGTTTGCTTCCAGTTTAGCATTCATGTCGCCATTTCGGATCTCACCCATAACTGCTTTCAGCCGTCTCTAGAAATCGTTCTTCCTTTCTTCTTCTCAGTTGCCTGTAGACGCTTGGCTTTGGATGATCACAACCTTCTTTTTGTTACAGGACTTCATCATGAGCTGACAGTGGGATACCTTCCTTTTGTGTTGAGTCTTCCTGTCATTATCCTGGGTGAGATTGGTTCTCATTGCATAAGGGCTCTGGCTGCTGCTGGTGATATCATGATAGCCAGTCACTGCTTCAGTGTGCTCGTGGTTGTCGTCCGGGTGGCCGGAGTAGATTCTTGACCATACAGTTAAAAATTTTCCGGGTTCACTCCCACTTTATCTGCTCTCACGTATTCCTAGGAACTCAATGCTATGTCTTATCATCTGCCTTATATTTTGACACTAACATGCAGTTACGGTTCATTGTTAGCGAAATTATGTCCTCCACCAAGATATGACATCACCTCACACAATTCAAATATCCATTATTCCATGACAAACATCCAAATAGGGTATAACTATCTCCTGTTTATAAGCATACTGTATATGTGTACTAGCCACTCACCAAGTCCATTGGACGCCTTTCAACTAACTGGTCAACCTTCATTCCTCACATTGAATCTTTCCATTAAGAATACCCATCGCGCTGATCCATTTCATACTATCTTTGTATTTACAGTCAACTCACCAGATTTGTCACAGAAATACTACTCATCTCGTCAGCCTATAAGTAATCTGTTATTCTATGTGAAAACTGTATCCGTCACATAACCTGCTGTTATTGTTACCGTATAACTAGAACAGCCTGAAGGGAATGCCCTGAAGAGAATATTCCTCGCTCCGACCATCTGCTAACACAAGAATAAGTTATTACAGTGAAGAAATTTTCATATGAAATAATACCAAGTTGTACCTTTTCTGCGTGACTAATTATACCTTCTTTGAAGGAAATTGTTTACATTTTGTAGTAAAGTTCAATTTATTTATAGAAGTGAAAATCACGCCATGACTACGTGGACATCAGTAATTAAAGGTATTTGAAAATGGTCTGATATTTTGGCGTCCTTTATTTGTTGATTTGAATCTCTACAGAAAATTTTTATATAAATACATTAGATTTTAATCAATTACACATAATCATGGCTTTCGCTTTCTTATCATTAGAAATCACTGCGTTCCTCCTTCTCCTGCGTTTATCACTACTGACAGGTAAGCGCTACTTAATTTCGCTGTGTATGTATTGCATTCATATTTTGAAACCCCCTTAAAAGTAGGAAAAACTCTTCTGACAACTGCCTTTAGAGTATTTGATAATCATCAGCGATTTGTGCGAATGTATGAACCACTCCGTTCGTTCAGATCTATTACACGTCGATATGAATATCATTTTCTGATTAACTTGAGTTACGGTATGACAACCCAGTCTTGTTATTTATCTGACACATACTCATAACGCGAACTCGCAAACATTGGATACATTTCCCTGCAAAAATTGTGTACATTGATGATTTTAGTTTCATGGTTACAAAGCCATCTTGAGTCGCATCAATTTGAAACACGTACTCAGTGCAGATTCAATGCACAAGATCACCATTTACGTGGTCTCCGTACGAAATAATAGATGAATGTTTCCCCCTCACTGTCGATCAAGGAATTCGTGCGATTAAATATGCTCATTTGCACATATTATCAATTAATTAATTACTTCTCGTCTTCTGAAGCTGCTGATCGGAGTCAGGATTATGGTGAGTCATTGCACATTGAACAGTAATTTAAGCATTCATGTTGCCATTGGTGTTCCTGACTTGTAAATTTTTTTGAAATGTGAAGTTTCCTGTCGAATATCCAGTCAACTCAAAAATGAATATTCGAGAATTCTACAATGTCACACGTTCGAATATTGCTTTCCACAATTAGTAGTTTGTCAGCTAATTTTAGGCTATTATCGAGTAGTCTGGTGGTAAGACATCATGTGAAACCCGCGAAGAAATGCAGCAAGTGAAACACCTGCATCTAATCCAGCAGGATTATTGCGTTGAACTTCGACAATCTGCACGCTATGGATATGTAGAAATCGACTTTATCACATCATATTTCCTAACAGTGTAAAGCTAAATTATCAATGTATTCACATTGACTAGGTGATTGTGGTGCGAAGCTAGTCATTTTTCTGTCTGTCACAATCAACCCCCTTGGATGAGGTTTGAGACCCAGGATTCTCGAGCAGGACAAAAGTTACTTCTTGTGGAGTGAGTGAGAGGATATGTCAAGCAGTATCGTTCCGTATTCTCCAATGGGATATTCTCTTCAATACTCTACTCATTGAACATATCAACCAGTATTATTCATTCTCATAAAATGGGAAACATGCTGGCACACATTTTATCCATGTCACTTATTCTTGAAACTGAACAAGTCATAACATTCAACCAAGCTTAATCGAATGAATTGACGCTCAGCCCTCTTGTTTTGTAGACGCGACTCTTATACTTCTAGGGGTATCCACATTTCAACGAGCAATCACTGTTAAAGAACGTAAGCAAATTCATTTCAATATACTTCAGTATTACATGGATTTGATTAACATTTGATGAAGTAATAAAGTCTATGTTTATTGAACACACTTTCATTTTCATTTGTGGAATGATTTATCGTGTTCTCTCTCTCCGACCTTGCAGTTATCTGCGTTGGAGCTGGTTGGTGGAAGCATATCCAGCCTGTAACACTCGAAACCTCTGTCAATGTATACGAACCCAGTTTGACTGATGAACAGATTTGACATTCGCCATCATTTCTATATACATTATCAATTCATTTGTGTAACATTCGTAATTGCTTTGCAGGTCAATTAATCGACATGAATAATAAGAAAGCCGTTGCGGAAGAAAACGTGCAGACATTGGAAGGTGCTTTTACAAGCCTGCTTTTACTCACCATATGTATTCTGTATGTTATTTCTGAATTTGTTGTGTCGATGATGCTTCGACTAAATATTATGCGTGTGGTACTGAAACTCTGTGGTGATGGTGGTGGTGATATAGTAGTATATATTTGAAAATTATTGTAGTTGTTGGACATATTCAAGTGATGGACAGAGTGAAACAGGCTTATTCACTGGATCATGTTTCGAGGATGTTTCATTATTCACAATGGTATCACTTGCAACTACAAGAATACTAAGCCTGACACTCAGCCTCCTCTTTCTTCTCTGTCTTAATCTTTCAACAAACGTGGAGTGTTCACAGCCTCAATTTATGCTTCCTACTAAGGACGACAGTGGTGAGATCTAGATTCACAGCCAGTAATTCGATGACAGTCACAATGTAACTAATAACAGTTTCGCAATGTTTCGTACAAACATTTTGTTTTTGCAAGGGAATATGTGTTTTTGCATTACTAGTTGGAGGAGGATGTTAGATGCTCTGTACATGAACATGCGGTAAATAATTGTCGAATGCTGTTCAAATGTGTGTAAAAACCAATATCTAGTTATCAGTGGAGACAGAGAACTGGTGAAGCCATACTGCTGTCTGTTGATTCATCAGCCTTTATCTCGATATTTGAGAAGCAGCAATATTGACAACACTCTCTTCAATGTCTTGCAATCATGATATATATTGCACGAGGCAACAGACTGACTGTCTCTTTCCCACTTCAGACCGCTTGGAAGCACAGGCCAGAGAAACGGGCAAAAGTATCACTAAGTGTAAGTCAACGAATTTAATCAACATTGAGAAATAATCCTTCTTTTAGTTGTGAGTTGTCTATTCAATATTTCTACATACTACTACGAACCGGAAATATACAGAAGTACGTGAAATATTTGTTATTCCTCTTCAACCTGAAAACAAAATGACTAGACTATCGAAATCTCTCGTTAAATAGACTTCGAATCAACGCCACTACTGAATATCACACAGTCATGTGAAGGCCAACATTCAGTTTTTTAAACAATTTGTCTGAATAGTGCTACCGATTCGATTGGATTATCTCATAGTTAGGAATTTTCTCCCTTTATTATCTCATTTGTTGTCTGTCTTGAATTTGTCCTGTATTCATCTCCTTCCTCAGACGTTTCACAGACCATCAGGGAGGTACAGCAGTCGTGTGGTAAGTACGCTTTCGTAATTCATGCCAGATTCTCTTTGATGTTGTTCGCTTTGCTTTTCTAATCAGCAAATTGTCAAGGCTGATTTTCGAAAGAGATTCAGTTGAGTCACTCTACTGCTATTGAAAGATGAGCGTATGTGTGGCAGACTGTTTTCAGCTGCTTAAGATGCTCATCTCATATTTCACTATCAGTCACATGGACACAACCAGTATAAGAGGGTGTAAGCGTAGCTTGCATTTTATCCAATCTCTGTGCAATGACACGTAGTGGTGAAAGACGTTGACAATACAGACTCAATTGATTTATTCTCTGAAAAGCGTGAAATACAGGCCACTAATATTTGCCAGATGGTGGGACAAACATGAAATTATCCATTGAATTTGTGCCATCTGATCAATGTGACAGGTGATTTTCGAACTACTGGTCGTTAAATGTTCTGTTCTCTTTGCATTCTATTCAGGGAATTACCTGTACATATCTCAGAGCAGAGATATCTGGAGGGAATCGTTAATCCACGGATCTAAATGTAAGCATTGATATTATTGGTTTGTCAGGTTTGCTTCACTTGTGCTCACGGTTCCCTTTCCTTCTTCTGACTCAGTCAAACATCGCTGTGATCGAATCCAGTATATTTAACTGGTGACTTAGTTGCCATCGATAGCTTAGGCGTGTGACTAAAAGACGGATGTGTTTATCTGTTAGATATTTGAGTGAATTCGTCAGTCACTGGACAATAGATGACATCCAGTAGTGGTTTTGTATACGTCTGTTGTCATTTTGTGAACCAGTGTCAGTGAGTTGTGACTCGGTTTGTTTATTAGATTGTCATAATCAATACAGTTGATTACTATCCGATGCAACGCGCTACAATCATTTTGTGAATGAGTACGTGATTTTGAATAGTTGATGGTCAGCCGCTCACAGTGCTCAGAGGTGAATTGAGAGCAACTGAGATCCGGTCAGTAACAGTGTGCATAGCGCCTAATCCGAAGATGGGTAGTTCATTGACTCATGGTCAATCCCTGTGTAGATTCAAAACATCAAGTATCTCTCTCTGAAGATGCGTCACTCATTGCTTACTCACTGAGAATCGATTTCACTCTACCATCCGGTTGGCCAAATTCACAGCCCATACGTTCACATATTTTCGATGTTATAATTAACGAGTAATGTGTGTTGTATGTGTTGACGTCTGTGTATTTCAGCCGGTCCAAGCCGTAAGTCAAATGACAGAATACTGGTGACCAGTATAATATTGAACACAACATGTTCATTGTAGCCTAAGAAATACTGTCGATGCTATCCTTTCTTCTTGAATAGGTGTCGGACAACAGCCGGATTTAAGTGAATGTGATAGTCTTCTGTCGGTTGATCGCACTGAAGGTAATTCGAAACATGTCATTGCTTTGTGGTAGATTGTTCCATCAGTGTGATCCTTCATATTTCTCAGACAGATGTTTGTCAATTTATTCGACTCAATGACAATTGATAGTGACTGGCTTCAGCAGCACATCTCCACTTCGTCCTATTCTCAGCGGTCTTATTCAGCTAGCCTCAAGTTAGCCTATGTGCTCTCAAGCGATCCCCACGTGACCTCCCAATGTCACTACCCTCGGACACACTCACTTAATCGTCGATTCCCACTCAGGTTCTGGTCGAGCGATGGCTTCGTTCGCTATGTCAACCGATGGCCTCCTCAGCGTGTGTCAGACGCCTCTCCACTTTCTCCAGCACATGTGTTGGTCAGTAGGCTCCTGGTTGGTTGATTGCTAGAGTTCATTATCGCTCAATGTCTCTTGGTATTTGATTGATCGTCAATGTTTTGAGAAAAAAGTTAGCTGTTGAAAACATCCCCCGGTTACTGGAAATACTGTGACATATATGTGTATATATGTGTTGAGTGTGCTGACGGGGGTTTAATTGAGAAGTGAACACTGCTTCGCTCAATATTGACGTCTTCCGAATATCAAAATGCCTCCTTGCGTCCTCATCTGTCGTCGAATCATCATGCCTATCCATGATATGTGTTCGCGCTTTGCCTTCTTTTCCAGAAATAAATGAATTGACTCGGAGGATAACACATTACAGTTATGTCAACCACGTGAGGACGATAGTTTATGGTAAGTTGAAAAATTTTGAGTCGAACATTTTGAGAGGCGCTTTCAACAGTCTAGTATGTCGTTAACGTTGAGTCCATGGTGAGATAGCATCTCACACTCAGATTTTTCTCCTACTTCGTGGAGACTTGTCTGGACGATTAGAAACGATAGACTCAGAAACACTTTGTCTGTTTTCTCACATGCGCGTGTTCAAGTTTACATATCAAGTGAGCCTTTCTTGACGATAAACTTCATCTTCTCTTTATAGAAACCAGAGCGATACTTGAGAATGTTAAGACGAATTTAAGGGTGAGTTTATGTACCAGAATCAATCCACACAATCCCTATGACAAGATTCAGTCTACTTACCGTGTATCCTCCATCGCCACACCTCATGATGTATTGAATAATGTCCTGTTGGTGTTTAGAGACAAGTAGATGAGATGTTCACTTCTAATGAATAGCTAAACACTGTATAGGGAAAATTTCACGGATAGGTATTACGGTATTATGGGAAGCTTCGGCTTCTTTCTGACTGATTGTTGTGGCAGTTAATTGATATGATGCTTCCAACTGAGGTGGGTAATACACTTCATGCTCACGTTTGAATGCATCAAGAATATGATCCAGCGTATCAACTGGAGTACAATCGATTTGAGCAGTTCAGTCATTTGAGACTGAATATGTCGAAAATTAGTGGCTGATTCACTTTATGAAACGTTTTGCATTCCTTCAGTATCGTCCTCAATGTTATTGAAACTACTCATTCATTCATTCATCACTTTTGCATTCTTTCTTCTGCTCTTGAAGGACAAATACCACTCACTGACAGGATATTTAACATATTAATCCGTGTCAGATGAACATATATATTCAACCGTCTTCACTAATCATTTGAAGACAACATGCTTCTTCTTTTCTCTTTCACCTGATTAGACTTTAGTACTGATATGTGGTCGTAGTCGTAGTAGTAGTACTAGTGATAATTGTAAAAATAATAATAATAAAATTATTTATAATTATAATAATGATAATATTTTGGCATCACTTTGACTTCTCTCTACAATGTTCGAAAATGGCGGTGTGTGTAGAATGTCATAGTCATAATAGAGATGAAGTGACGGAAAGTTCACCTGTGACTGTAGTTTTCCTCGCACTATAACTCAGTCCTATCCTACAATCATTTCTCATTATCGGTTCGGACAGAGAAATAACGAACACATTTGCAGGAGAATACGAGTTTGGTTAGTTTCGTGGATTCTCTTCCACTGCGAACATAGTCAGCTAAATCTAATTATAAGTTACAAAATGTTTGAACACATCATTCACGGTGACTTGGAGTTAAACACAGAACGTTTAGACAACACAATTCACAGGATGATGTGAATAGACAAATTATTCAGTGTTAAAAGACTGACTGTTTACGGCACAGTTAGACTAGTGAGATAGGTACAGTCAAAACTTCGCTTGGAAATCAGGATTGACTAGAGACAAAATACAAGATCGGAGAACAGAGTGAATTGATACATATTTTGAATGAATAGTAGAGTCAAATTATGACAGACAATCAATTACGTGTATTCCGAAACTTACTAGTGAGTTCAACTCAGAGAGCGAAAATCAAAATTAGGTGGAATGTTCCGAGATCGTGGAGAACTCGAAGCACATGAACAAACAGATATTAATTTAACTACTCGCATCACTTAAACTAGAGAACAGAATTTAATCAAACAAACCTTTTCGGTAACTCCTCATCAAGTCTGTGAACTAGTGGATAACAAGCAAGTTGATCACACTATTGATAACATGATGACATATTGATGATAAGGAATAATAACAATGTAGTCAGTCAGTTACATTGAGTGTATATGTTTGTAGGGGAACAATTGTCTCCTCAGAGTGTTTGGCTTGATGATAAATTGCGAAGTTAAGGTAAAGTTCGATCAATATAATCCAATACAGAGATAACGGTACAACTGAAGACAGTGTTCACAGTGGAGGAAAATTTACAGAGGGAGACTGTTTTTCGCCAAAATCTTTGTCAGCCTTCACCATACTTCATAAAGACAAGTTAACACTATATTGGACAGTGCATTGTGATACAAGCGGAGGTTCGAGTGATAGTCGGTGAAATCTGCTTGTCGTCCAAATCCCTGTAGACTGTACGATCAATCAGAACATGAGATAACATGAAGTTAAATAATCCAGTGATGTGTTTGGACTGGTTATTAGAATGTCATTTGTGTGTGGATAAGCGCACGATACCCTGAATGAAGCGCTGGAGTTTTGGGAAACTTTGCATGGATTAAGGAAGATGCGACGAATCTCGAGGAGACAGAAAATCCTGATGACGACAGCATTTAGGAAAAAAGCAGGATCAAGGAAATCCAGGTGATGAGTGAGCTTATTAAATCCAGGTGTGACTCCTGAGGATGTAGTCAAGTCCTGAGTCTTCACTGTTACTTAAACATCTTCAAACACGTATGAATGACGCCTATTCATTGTCCATTGTCAGTCAGTTATCATTCACTTTCTGACCCTTTCGAATACACGTTGGCCTATGTGCGTTTGCACTGAAATCAGTGTGCTAAATGAGGTTCCAGGCCTCATTGACCACCACAAGGACTTCAGTCTGTGTCTCTATTTTCAGGCTTCACATACTCCGGTAAATATCGTGGGCTTGTCCACTGACTGGTTATCATCACCTTCTATGTTTATTGTGGAAGGCGGACGCCAGTTTACAGGCATCACCTCAATGGCGAACCACAACAAAGCTGATATCACGTGTACAACATGTATAGACGTTAGTCAGACTGTCTTTCCTGTTTATAGGTGTAATAATATAAATATGCAAGGAAGGTCACATTCCTAGGTTGCAAACTTTGTGTGTATGAAAAGCGCCTTTTATCGAAAATTTGAAATAATCAGTCCCTTTTATAAATTTGGACAATGTTATTAGGAGACGGAGATTATCTGAAACATTTGGTGGTTTCAACCAATAGATTCTGTACGATCTGATTCCTCACACAGTCACTTGTCGAGCTAATTTTCATGAAAACACACAAATTGATGTGAGGTGATAAAGAATAAGAATGATAAGAATAATTTACACCACGTTTGTTTGTCAATTTTGCAGAGTTCATGTGTATTCCTAACTACTTCGGAATATGCTCTATCAACCACACATGCGAATTTCGATTACTCCTCCCGAAGTTCTTCGGAAGGTGGTGACAACACATCTATTCAGCAGATGCATTTTGAAACTTTGTCTCGATGAATGTGTCCCCTTCCTACACTGGAGTTTTTGTTGGAGAACGTCTTGCACTCAGCGTTTCAACTGGAATGGTTATCGAACGACTGTCGACTGATGAATGCGATGTGACTTCACTGATAAATACTGAATATATTACAGATCTCTTGTTCGACTCACCTGTAACCCTGAAGACCTGGAAGTATTAGCACCTGCTAGGCCGCTATTGTTGATGGACAACTCGGTAGGTATTAGTGTAACTCATATAAGTGATAAGGTCTCTATAAGGTGGAGACAGGCCAGATTTATAATGGAAACATCGGTTCGGGGAATACTTCTCCTTCCTACAGCAATGACACAACTGGATGGATATTAATTGGAATGTGCGAACCGGAGGTCTAGGTGTTGTCCCTTAAAAATCGTATTTGCCAGCATTTGCTTCAATCCGCATGGATAAACAAATTGATCGTTGACGATAAAATGACTGGGTTGAATTGACTCGAAAAACTCCTCCTACATCCCACATATTCTCCACATCTTATTATTCAAGATAGTCCGTATTCATAACTGGAGAGACTACTTTTACTCTATTAATATTTACTTATAGCAGTACAGTTGTACAATTTCATGACTTCTCCAATCACTATCCACACCATTCTCGGTGTCTTCATACTGTTGTGTGAGTTGTGTCAGTTAACTCAGTGCTCCGATCAGACAGATACCAACGCGCTGACACTCATCTCATCTCATCTCACCCGAATTCATATTCATCAGAAATTTGACGAACCCGCATCCTCACTGAAATACGTAGACATCAATTGAGCGAGTAGTGCATCAGCCACATACAACATATTTATATATTATGCTTTGAATATTCGTCAACAGCAAATCTATGAATTCTATTGGCTTTCTT